CCTCCCTCCAGCCTCCCTTCTTTGGTCCAAGTCCTCAGGGCACCGGGCTCTCCTGCCCCTTCCTCCTTGTCCCCAGCTCCCTCCCGTGTCCCCTTCCCCTTCCCCCTAAATCTCCCATCAGCCCCGCCCCACCTCCTAGGGGTCTTCCCCTGGTCAGCGCCCCCCAAACCTCCGCCTGGACCCCCCGGGCCCAGGGAGGGCCCAGCTCACCCCACACTCCTCCCACTGGATGTCTGGCTGTCCCCAGGCCCCTCTCCTGGGTCCCCACACCACCCATCCATAGCCCATGGCCAGGACAGCCCAGGTCCCCCCGACTCCTCCTCTCTGCCCCAAGGTCAGCTGGCGTCCTTCCAGCCGGGACCTGGCCTGGTCTCATCTGCAGCAGGAGCCTCAGGCCCCGGGCTCCACTGCCCTGTCACCTCCATTCACCCTCCTCTGCCCCAACACGGCGGTGACCAGAGTCTCAGTGCCAGCTTCCCTCGTCTCCGTGAGGGACACCAGGCGGCTCCCCTCTGGCTCTCACTGTGACACACGCAGCTCTGTCCTGCCCCAGGCCCCTGCCGAGCGCTTCAGGCCCTGACTCCTCTCCCCTGCACACAGCCCAGGGCGTCTGCCTCATCGTCCCCCTCCCCAGATAAGGAGGCCAATTACGTCACTTACAAACGGTCCCGCATTCCAGGCTCGGATGCACCCTGAGGCCACGGACAGGACAGCCCAGTGTCCCCAGGGCCGGTCCCAACTGTGCAGACCTGCCCCCAGACCCTGGGCCCGGCCGGGAGTCAGAGCCAGCCCAGAGGGGAGCCGCACCTTCCTGTTACCTGCAGCAGCACAGGGCATGGGTGGGGACCCCAGAGAGGGCAGGGCCCAGCAGAGGGGCTCCCGCCAGGTCCACCCGTCAGCCTGGCGCTGGGCCAGGGCGCAGGGGGTCTTTGCTGAAGGTGCTGCTCAGATCAGCTCCAGCCCTCAGGGCCACCTCACGCCCCGGAGCATCTGGGACAAAAGGTGCAAGATCACAGGAAGTCAGGGCCCGACAGGCCTTGGCACTGGGCGGGAGAACGCTCAGGAATGCCGCTGAGAGGGCACGGCCAAGGCCAGGAGGCCGGCCACCCCAGGGCTCAGGGCTGGGAGCCTGGCCGCGTCCCTCATTCTGCAAGGAGGACCCCGAGTCTCAGGAAGGCTGAGGACCTGCTCGGAGCACAGCGAGGCCCAGCTGCAGACCAGCGCGCCCAGGCAGGACCCGAGTCCAAGCCTCTCCCTCCTGGGCCTGCCCGCAGGTGCCGGCCTGCCCCTTGGGACTGGAGACCCTGCCAGCCTCTGACTTGCACGTCCCCGTCACAAGGCTTGAGGTGAGGCCCCTGGCCCCACAGATTGGTTCCAATGCTGACGCTCAGAGCCCGGGCACCTGGCTTCCAGGGAGATGGTGAGGATGCGGGCGCCCGCGGGGGCTGGCACGGGCTCCCCTTCCCGTCACTGCCACCATCCTGCCACAGCAGTTACTCCTCAGCACCCCGAGGTGTTCTAGCTCCGCTCCTCTGTCCACGTGGGGAAAGCCGGCCACAGGCCAGCCTCTTGCCCAGCTGGACGGGGCTGGGGCTGGGCCTGAAACCAGCCGCCGCTGCCTGAGGGCCCCTGGTCTGTGGGGACTGTGGGCCGGAGCAGGACAGTGAACAGGAGCGGGTACCTGGGCATGTGGCCCACTCACAGACCACCTTCCCTGGTCCTCTCTGACACACACACACACACACACACACACACACACACACACACACACACGACTCGGCATCCCCCAGCCAGCGGGAGGGCATCCTGGCTGTAGGGGAGGAAGGGGACCCTAGGGGACGGCACTGCCCCCTCTCAGCCATCTGCTCCGTGACAAGGTGCGACAAACCCAGCTAAGGGTGGGGCAGCCAGAGCCCCAGCAGCAGCAGAGATAGAGCCCAGCCCCAGCGCCTGGGTGGCTACTGACCCCAAGAGTCACACGCCAAGTGAGGGACAAGTCCAGCCAGGAGCTCCCAGAGACTCTCAGCCCCATCCTCATGACCAGGTCCCCCAGGGGACCCTCGCCCCGTCACCCCACGAGCCTCCTAAGGGGCATTTGTCCTGGGTGCTCTCTAGTCTGGGTCCCTTTCCAGGGCCAGAAGGTGGCTGCCCTGTCCCACACACTGGCCCCGCTCTGGGCCCCCAGGCCGGCCTCCCACGGCCATCTCTGCCCCTCTGAGTTGAAGGCCCAGCGCCAGGGCCCAGGGAAGCCCCTCGGGCCACAGCAGCCCCAGGCTTCCCGGGAGGACTGCAGAGGAGGGTGGCCTGGCTCTGGGGACCAGCTCCTTCTCCATCAGGAGAGCAGGGCCCACCCGTTCCCGGGGGATTCCAAGACAGGTTGGGGTCAAGGTTCAGGCGACCCCTGGAGTGTGACTCAGCTGCACCTCCAGGGACCTTCCCGCCCAGCGCCCCTGGATGACCAGCAGGGGGTGGTAGGGAGACACTGGGCTGCCCAGGGTGCCCTCAGGACAGGGCCAGGGGACTCACCTGGCTGGGACATGGGGCCTTGCTGCTGTGCTCCCTCTGGTCCCCGCTGCTGCCGGGACCGTGGCC